TTTCAAATTTTCATGTACTCAATGATTACCTGGAGACCATGTTAAATAGCAGAACTTTATAGAAAAATGCTGGGTGGGACCAAAGCTTCTCCATGTGTGGAAGATCTCTGATGTGAATACTGCCAATCTGTGGTTCACACTCTGAGCGACAGGGAATGAAGATACTGAGGAAAGGTTTAATGAAGCACTTTGTAATCAAGAAATTTTAGAGAAATAACAGGGTGTAAAGTAGTTTTGAGAAGAGCAAAAACAAAGAATTTTACCATTTTCCATTTACTGGAAACCATTCTAAATACTTTTCACATTAGAAAAATAAAACCACAAAAATAATCTGTTTTTATTTTTCGAGTGAGCCAACCTTGACTTGAATGAGAATCGAGGGAACAAAGTGGTTTTAAAAACTCACTAGGCTGGAACAGCAGAGGTAGAGAAATCAATGTTTTCAAGGTCTAAGAATATGGTGTTTGTAGAGGCAGGGAAAACACATGAATCCATCTAGGATGGGACATTTACCTGAAACCAGTCACTCCCTCCTCCTCCCCCTTCTCTTTCTCCTCCTAATTCTCTGAGCTTCGCCTTCAGATGGGATTATCTTGGACATCACCCCTGCGTTTTGGGAAATGGGTCATCAGTATACCCACCCCCACGTCGCGCCCGCATCCCCTGGCAGAAGGACTCTGAAATGCAGAAGAGCCTTCGCTTTCCCCGGTCCTAGGAGAGAGTCAGGAAGCATGTGGGTGGAGAAACCCACCTGAATGCCGACCCCACCCAGCGAAATGCCTCCCTGTGAATTCTGCTGAGCTCCGCCCATCTCCTTCTGCACCCCTCCGTCCTCATAAACAAATCCTCCCGAGATCCCTTTCCATGGCAGAGCATCTCCCTCCCAGCCCAGCCAGGCCTGCTGGTTTGCAGGTCCCCTGGGGACCGGAGAGCAGCATCCTGCCTGCGCTATCCTGGAACCTGGCCCTGGCCGTGGAGTCCGGGAATGCTGGCATTCTCTGATTCTGAGCAGGGCTCTGATTCCGGGCATAAAGAAAGCCATTCTTCCCCCTTGGTTTTTGAAGCCCTGGATGCCAACGAGCTCCTTGCCTTGGGGAGACTAACCTTATCCCATCTGCAGCAAGATGCAGAAGGAATCAGCCAGTGCGTTGGCATATGCGTAACTGTTTTCAGCATTGTGTATAGTGTTAAAATTGCCTACTTACAGGTTTATCTTTTAAAAATCCCTGGGAATGGCAAAGACCAAATTATAGTGTATTGTATCAGACACAGACATATGAGATACAATGAAAGTGCTGAGGGTGTAAACACTCAATAACTCAATAAACATTTCTTCCAATAAGACGTCCTTTCCCATCCTGGGTGAGCCGGCTAAAACCAGCTCACACACAAAGATGAGCTCACACTCAATTAGGTTAAGCTGATTACTGGTGGAAGGGGATTTCCTGGGATTCTTGAGCTGTATAAAAGCCCAGCAGAAGACCTGACCTTCTCAGTCATCCCGGAAACCCTTCTGGGTCCAGTAGTATTGGACCAGCGTCTACGTTATCTGAGTGGCCACTGACAGACACAAAATCACAGGTTCGTTTCCGTGACTATTTGGGGCCTCCCTTTACCCCTCACAGAAATAGGAGGAAATAAGGGGAGAGGGCCATTTTAGGTGTTGAAGTAAGGATTCCTTAACTAATTGAATTTTTTTATTTTTTAAAAACTTTTTGTAATGTTTATTTATTTTTGAGACAGAGAGAGACAGAGCATGAGTGGGGGAGGGGCAGAGAGAGAGGGAGACACACAATGTGAAGCAGGCTCCAGCTCTGAGCTGTCAGCACAGAGCCAGACAGAGGGCTCGAACTCATGAGCTGTGAGATCATGACCTGAACCGAAGTCGGACGCTCAACCGACTGAGCCACCCAGGCGCCCCTTAACTAATGGAATTTTTAGCACAGAGCCTGATTAAAAAACTATTTCAAAAATGTTAATTTTTAGACAAATGTTAACTTTTATTATTGTATTTTATTTTATTTAAGAGAGAGAGAAACAGAGAGAGTGATTGGGGGGAGGGGCAGAGAGAGAGAGAGAGAGAGAGACAATCTTAAGCAGGTTTCATGTTCAGCAAGGAGCCAGACATGGCTTTATCCCAGAACCCTGGCTTTATCCCAGAACCCTGAGATCATGACCTGAGCGCAAACATAGTCGGTTGTTGAACTAACTGAGCCTCCCAGATGGCCCTTTTTTATTTTTAAAGTTTATTTAAAGTTTTGAGAGAGACAGAGAGGGAGGGAGCAAGAGGGAGAGAGAGCATGAGCAGGGGAGGGTCAGAGAGAGAAGGAGAAAGATAATCCCAAGCAGGATTCGTGCTGCCAGTGAGGAGCCTGACTTGGGGCTTAATCTGAAGAATCGTGAGATCATGACTTGAGCAGAAATCTAGAGTCAGACCCTTAACCAGGAGCCCCACGGAAATGTTAACTTTTAGATCATTGCAGAGAATGATCACCCAGACCCAGGGTTTTTAAAACTGTGAGTGATTTAGTAATTTATCTTTTATGCCAGTGTATTCATGAGAACTTGTTTGAAAGCTGGTTGAAATTCGCAACCCTGATCCTGAACCTGTAAATAAAACAGCAGTACCTGAGCTATGAAGCTCCCAGTCGAATGGAGAGGCAAGAATTACTCTACCTTCATTTGTACTTGGGAAAGGCTTCCTCCTTACTGAGTTTTGGCCATTTGAAATGTGAAAAGGATAGGGGTGGCTGGCTGGCTCAGTCGGCTGAGCATCTGACTTCGGCTGAGGTCACGATCTCAGGGATCTCAGAGTTCATGAGTTTGTGCCCCGCATCGGAGTTGCTGCTGTCAACACAGAGTCTGCTTCAGATCCTCTGTCCCCCTCTCTGTGCCCCTCCCTCGCTGGTACTCTTTCTCTCAAAATAAATAAACGTTTTTTTAAAATGTGAAAAGGGGGTCAGGTGTTCCAGCCCCATGTTGGACACAGAGTTTACTTAAATAAAATAAAAATTGAAAAGGAACAGATACTTTATTCTAGGTTTTCAAATACGTTTCCCTGAGATTAGATACAGATTCCCTGACCCCTTTCCTTCCTGTTTCTATGGGAAAATGGTCTTTTTTTTTTAAGTTTATGTATTTATTTTGAGAGAGAGAGACAGAGAATCTCAACAGGCTCCACAGTCTCAGTGCAGAGCCCATTTCGGGGCTCAAACTCATCAACTGTGAGGTCATGACCTTAGTCAAAATCAAGAGTCGGAAGTTTAATCGACTGAGCCACCCACATGCCCCTGGTCTTTTTTTTCCCCCTGATATAATCTATTATGATAAATTTTATTGTCTTTTTATTATGACAGTCAGTGATAATGTATTCTATTGCTGTTTTTGAAGATATATTTTCCGAATATGCTCCATTTTCCCATTTGATTTTATTTACTTGTTGATTTATTTATGGGAAACTCTATACCCAATGTGGGGCTTAAATTCACCACCTCAATTTCAAGAATTGCAAGCTCTACCATCTGAGCCAGCCAAGCACTCCTAATCCCATTTAGGTTTTGATTCATCAATTTCATTTCTTTCTTCCTTTTGTAATCTTTTGTTTTCCTTGCTCCAATTTCTTTTTTTTTCCCGCTCCAATTTCTTAAGATGATAACTTCCTATAAATTTTATGTTTGTATATAATATGCGTGTTTAGACTAAGGAATTTACCCCTAAACCACGTTTTGCTCTGCTCCTAACTTTTGGCATAAACTGCTTTATCTTTTTTCTCTTTTTTATAATTTCCATTTGAATTTCATTTTTGATTTTAAGGAATCTGATTTCAGAAATTGCTGGAAATATATTGCATAGTTTGAAAATAGTTCATCTGATAAAGAAGTTAAATAATGTAGTTATATTTAATTTTGTTCAGTTATGCCAGAGGGGAACTAGAGAATGTAAAATATCTGGTTTTCTTACATTTTGAATTTTCTCTTTGAATCCAATTATGTGATCACTTTTTTCCAAGCGTTTTATGGTGTATTATATAAGGTCTCTAAATATGGAATCTGCATGTCCTGTATATATAAAACATGTTAAGTCTAGTGGAGAAGTTTAGAAAAAATTTATCATCTTATTTCTCATTCATTGGTACTATGTTACTAGCAGAAGGATATGCACGTGTAGTTGGAACAAAAGGTGAAAGGGGAGATGGTGGGCAGAGAGGTAGGAGCTGGCTGCATTGCGCATGGGGGGGTCCAGGGGTGTGCAGCGTTCAGCGGTTTCATTTTCTATCCCGCACAGGGCAACAGAGTCCCTGGGACTGACCAACCCCGATGGACCCCAACAGGCTTTCCATGGAACAGGGGAAAGAGTTCTTAAAGCAGCTTGGAATTCCGCAGAGAGATGTAAGTGTGGGAGAGGTTGGGCAGGTGACATGTGGAGGAAGGAGGTGGCCTCCCAGTCTAGCGCTGAGGCAGCTTCCCCTCCCATGACTGTGACCATGGGTGAAAGCCCGTGATTAGCAATGTGGATATTTGCCAGCTGGCCAATTACAGGGATGTGCAGTGATCAGAGGGCAGGGTAGAGGAATCTCAGTTCCCGCCTGGGACCGCCAGCATTCCCTGAGCACAGGGCTCCCCCGCGTGGAGGTCGTGGGCAAACTCACTGTTGAACCAGAGGAAAGAGCCTTTACTCTCTGATTAACACTGAGTTGAAGAACTCACAGAATTGGGAGCTGGTTTATTATCTTCTCATATCTCAAGGCTTCCTCCTCTGTGCAGAACTCTGATTGTATCTTGGTTCTCTTTACTCTCTGTCAGATTGACTCGATGACAGAGAAATGGGTCGTTGATGCCGCCGTGGAGGTTTTGCTACGGTTCCCACTGATGCCGGGAGAGGATCCAGGTGCCCGCTGTGTCTCCAGTAAGAAATGTCAGCCTTCAGTGGACCGGCTCACGGCTTCACAAAGACGCAAAGACCAAGAGGAGAGGTGGGACAAATGTCAGGAGTGACGTGGGTAGAGCCTGGGGGAAAAATCCCCTCCGGGCGCAGGTGTGGGCTGTAGGCTTCTGCTCAGACCAAAGGGGGGGTGAGGAAGGGGCTTCTGACTTGTGTGTCCCTCACCGTCGCACAGGCTTTTCTCTGTGAGCTTGCACGTGGATGTGAGCTGGCACAGGCGTCCACAGGTTGCGTGTCCCCGTGTGACTTTGTGCATGCCTCTGTTGAGAACTGGCATGTGGTTACGGGGGTCACGTACAACATTTCACAGGTGTTCATCAGTGTCACATCAAATGTCTGCAAACCTTTGTCAGAGGAAATGGCAGGTTTTCTCAGGAAGATGTTGTTCTATGAAAATTGTGAGTTTTCTGGAAATGTGTAGGGGGGAGAACTCAATAGTGTTGGCCTGCTTATTGGTTTTGATAAATATGGGTGAATGCTTTAAGCTTGGAGGAAGCAGTTGGACAAAAACCCAGCACACAGGCCTGAGCGCCACTGAGGTTTTCGGGGAGGACCTGTACAGACATTCATGGCTGCCAATCTCATTTCACCATGTTTATTCCAAGTGGCCTTTTCTCAGGCAGTGTCCTATTCTGGGAGTACGTAATGATGGAAAACAGGTCACAAAATGGCACACAATGGGACCTCAGTTCATGAGAAGACCCCATCACTGGGGGGTCACTCAGTGATCAGCGAGTCCCCCACCCATTCCATTACCTCCAGAGAGGTAAAAGG